GTCAACTAAAGATAAAAGATGAGTGCCGGAGAAAATTGTTCGTTTGGTGGCGGTGTTTGGGATGGGTCACGTGGAACCAAGGGCAAAAGCCCTCTCTCCCCGAAGCCGAATGTTTTCTTGTGAGTGGTGACCAAACGGCTGACTGTGTGCGAACCTAATGAACGCACGGCCCTCCCTGCTGAGCTCCTTGGTCCACTGACAGGGACTATTCATTGAACCCACACTGACCTACTGAGGACCTCCACTGTGTGCCAGCGGTCTCTCGCTAAGTACTGGAGACCCAAACGAAGCTCTAGCCCTCATGAGATGCATCCTCCGGTGGGAGTGAAAGACAGTGGAAAATTCAACTGGAAATTCTATCAACTCAGCAAGCAAGGGTGTGGAGTGGGTCTTGTGAGACAGCGTGCTTGAGGAAGGCCTCACCAAGGAAATGACATCGTATTTAAAGCCAAAGAAGCAATAAGTGGAAGTCTATCTGCTGGGAATGTGGGTTCTAAGAATGGGCTGGGTTTGGAAGAGCGCAGGAAGGTGAGTAGTGTCAGATCAAGCATGCTGAGTAATGCCTGCAGGGCATCCACAAAGACATGTCTGAACCCCACAACTCCAACCTGCAAATGCAGAGGAGATATAAAGGTCAGAAGTGTAAATTTAAAAATTGACCATCTGGAAGCAGAGACAGATACCCACAGCTAAACACTGAACTGAACTCCTGGAACCCAGTGACATAGATGGAGGAGTGATGAGCAAAGGGGTCAAGACCATGATGGTGAAACCCACAAAGATAGCTGACCAGATAAGGGGGAGCTCTTGAACCCCAGACTGATGGCTGAGAGGCCAAAGGGGGGAATGATCCAGACTCCATGAATGTAGTGTCGTGAAGAGGCCACAGAAATCACTGGGGCCTTGGGTAGTAGATCAGTGTTTACCATGGTGTATGAATGAATTTTGGGAGCCCATTCCAAATAGAGGGATTCCCTCTCAGCCTGGACACATGGGGATGGGCCTAGGTCCTGCCCTGGATGAAATGACAAACTCAGGAGATCCCCCCCAAGGAGGGCCTCACCCTCCCTGGGGAATGATGTGAGGATTGGGTGGAGGGCTGGGGGAGCTGGTGGAGGGATAAGGGAGGGGTGGGAGAGGGAGCTGGGATTGACATGTGAAGCATTCATGCTTCTAATTTAAATAAAAACATATATTGAGGGGAAAAAATTAACCATCTGGGGCTGCGGGTTAGTAGCAAGGTACATGTTCGTCCCACACTGGAACCCGAGTTCAATCCCAGTACAGCAAAACAAGTCCTAAGTTATCTATTGAAGCTTGAGTGCCAGGAAGCCCTCCCTCTAAAACTGATATGAAACGACGGCATCATTAAGGTGGCTGGAGAGACAGCTTAGTTTGTAAAGTGCTCTATTTGTAAGCATGAGGGCTTGAGATTGACTCCTCTAAGAAAATGAGGAGGAGGAAGAGGAGGAGGAGGAGGAGAAGGAGGAGGAGGAGGAGAAGGAGAAGAAGAAGAAGAAGAAGAAGAAGAAGAAGAAGAAGAAGAAGAAGAAGAAGAAGAAGAAGAAGAAGAAGAAGAAGAAGAAGAAGAAGAAGAAGAAGAAGAAACAGAAAAAGCCACCACTTGCCAGCCTGTCTGACAGAACTGGTGAATTCCAGGCTAATAAGAGACCCTGTCTCAAAGAAACAAGGTGGACACAGCATCCCAAAGAATGACACTCAAGATTGACCTCTGGCCTCCACATACCTGCAAACCACACACACACACACACACACACACACACACACACACACACACACACACACACCCCAGTGGGGTGGAGCTGAGATTCAAGGAGTACAAAGGTGTTTTAAGTTGGGTGTAAAACACAAGCATAGTTCAATACTATGTCCACTGACCACCCATTTCCTCCAGGCTTCTGGGATCCCAGGGGCAGACAGGGGTTTTGTGCAGGAGGCAAGCAGGTGGGAAATAATGACAATGACAACATCAGCCATCACAACACAACAGTCCATCTGGGAGGCTGTCCCTGCCTCAGCAGCGGAGGCACAGCTCCAGGGACAGCTCTTGCTGGGCCTTGGATGGCATGCAGCCCCCTTATGGGTTTTTCCTCACCAGATGCTACTGATATTTCAATGTATCCAGAAAAGGGGTTAGAAAAAAATGAGATAAAATGTAGAAACCGCCTCTCCTAGGATCCCTAGGAAGAATAAAAACTGAATATCAGGGTAGACTGTGAGATTTGAGTGACACTCCAGGACTCTAGGTGTTGAAATGCAACCCCCCACTTTGAGAGATTAAGGAAATATAGCATTTAAAGAAGTGATTAGGGTTATACAAGGTTTATAAACAGAGTAGAGATACAGAAGCACGCGTACACCCTCACACCTTTCATTTTATCCATAATCGACCACACACATACACAGAGAGAGAGAGAGAGAGAGAGAGAGAGAGAGAAAGAGAAAGAGAGAGAGAGACGCACACACAAAGACCAGATGAGGCCATTGATACCTTGGAGATCCAGAACCACAAGCTAAATTTACCCACACTGAGGTACAACCTATTAGTAACAGGACTGTATCTGCTCTAACATGGTAAGTCCTTATCGACACTCAGCCAAACAGAAGGTTGGTCACCTTGAGGCTTGGTTTGATCCTGACCCACGTGCAGCAGAGACCTGTGCTTCTGAAAGTGACATTGGCCACGTCAAAGTGTACGATTCATTCCCAAGCCTTCTCGAGCCTCCGAGCCTCCCTCCAAAAGCCAAGGGGTCTTCCTCCAGCAGATGGAGTCAGGCTGAAAAGCCTCCGGACATGGCCCACTCTAGACCCTTTGCCTTTTCACCCCTGTGATCTGCTTCAGGCCCTGCTACTCCCTCAACAGGCACCACCAAATCCACCAGTGACCTCAGCCCATATGACTTGCTGCCTAGCCACTGACAGCAAAGCTAGTGGGGTCAGGGGTCAAGGTCGGGTTGCCCTAGAGGGAAGAAAGATGCTCATCTGACCCAGCCCTGGGAAAGGGGGAGCCTGTCTGAATTACAGCTTTGTGGTTGAGGAGGATTGTGTCTGAGGTCTAAATTACAGAAACATGGGAAATACTTGCTGCCCAGTCGCTTTTGGGTCAGACACTGGGCTGACTCACCTTGGGGAAACCAAGCGGGCGCCCTCCTGTCAAGGTATACATCATAGTCTTTCCCAGGAGCCACTGCGTCTGGAACCCTCATGGTCGTTGGGGGAAGCTCCAGGGTCACTGCTGCCAGCTACTAGGAGTGCTCCAAAATTATCAGGAAGGCTCGCGAACAATGCCAAGACTGAAGCTAAACTTGGCTCGGACCCTTCTTACAGAACTTTCTGGCTCGACAAGGTTAAAAGAACAATAAGCCAAGCCAGGCTCCTCCAAGAATAACCCACATTTGGCCTGTGGTTACCTTGACCACTTACCTACCAACTGAAGTGTGAACTTTAAATTCCAAACTTTCACCGTTGACTAGACCCCAAAGGGCTAGTAGCAGACCAAGGGATGGTCATCGATGTTGCCTTCTGACTCTGGCCAATGACCTTGGACCCCTTCCCCCAAGAATGGTACCCTTTCCCCCTCTGGCTCTGGGCTCTAACGAGGAAGGCTGAGCAAGCTGTTGCAAGATTGCATCAGTGACCTTTGCGATTTTCTGGCCAGCTGGTTCCCCTTCCTCCCCACCCCACCCCCTGCTGCAAGCCCTTTGGCCTACCTGCCTCTCCTTTCTCCCCTACTTTGCTAACTCAGGTACACCAACAGCCAGAGGTAAATTAGAGCCACCCCCACCCTTGGGGGATCATGTTTAACCTTAAGCTAAGCAGCTTCTAAGAGTACTCCCCACCCTGGATCCTGGCCCTAGGGTCTGCAGCACACTCTCCCAAACCTGGGCAGGGTGGGTGGCATGGAAGCTTTGCAAGAGGATGGGACTCTTCCATTGCAGACCAGCTTCACTTAAGTGAATGTAGAAGAGAGGGCTCTGTGTGTGTGTGTGTGTGTGTGTGTGTGTGTGTGTGTGTGTGTGTGTGTGTGTACAAATATATCTGACCCACACAGCCTAACACACGCTAGGCAAGCACTCTACCAATGAACTATGTCTATAGTTCTCTTTTTAATTTTCATTTTTGACACAGGGTCTCAGTACATTACGCAGGCTATGCTTGGATTTGCCATCCTCCTGCCTCCGTAGCTGGGATTCCAGGTCTGTGCTTTGAATTTAATGGCTGTTCCCTGTTACACAGAGAGACCTACAGAAACGCCTTAGGGGCAGAGACTAATTCTCTCTCTCTCTCTCTCTCTCTCTCTCTCTCTCTCTCTCTCTCTCTCTCTCTCTCTCTCTCTCTTCTCTCTCTCTCACACACACACACCTCTATGCAGTAGAAGGAACCCTCAATTAACAGTTTTCTATTAAATGACTAGTAGTGTTCTCCATGTTTCAGTAAAACCCACCAGCCGTGAAAGCAGCACTCTGGAAGGACATTCTGCCTTATTTACTCCCTGGAATGCTTTTTTTTTTTTTGCTTTGTTTTGTTTTATTTCTTTTATTTTTCATTTATTTATTTTTTGCCTGTTCACTGCAGGGGTCCCTCCCTTCCCTTCCCTCCCACTCATGCCCTCTCTGACAGGTGAAAAGGTGGACCTTTCTGAATGAAAATGAAAACTTTCAACTATTTGGAACCCCACATTTTTTCATTAGGGTCTTTCTCGGGTTCCTCTGGGATTGCAGGAGTTGGGTACCTACAGACAAGAAAAAGAAAGTGTGTCCTGTCAGGAGAGCATGTCATCACCTCCTAGTGGTGCCTCGGGCTGTCAGCCTCTGGAGCACCCGTGGTCTAGGGTCTCAGGCTGCACATGGCAGGGGCGTGCACCGCTCGTGGGCACCTCCCCCAGGGCCCCTGCTGTGCTACCCTTCCTCCTCCTCCCCCTTCTTTTCCTGGCGGCAGCAGACAGGGCCCAGGACAACGAGCCAGGAGGCGGATCCCAGGCAAAAGATATAAGGGCTCTCTCTGGACGCTGAGCGCTGCAGCGGCGAAGTGACCATCTCGAAGAGCGGCCACTGTGGGAAGAAGAACGCCAAGGCGGTCATCCTGATCCACCCACTCCTGATCACCGACAGCAAGTGCTGTCTGTTCCCGCTGCACCCTAGGTGAGCATCCTGCCCGGAACCGAGGGAGGGCGGACGGGAAACCGCAGATCCCCTCCCCAGCAGCCTTCTCCCCTCTGCCCGCCAAGCCCCCTCTCCCGGCGCTGGGTCCCCTGCTGTGCTGTTGTTCAACCCCCCAGAAGAAAGGCTCAACCCTCTCTCTCCTCTGCTATCTCTGCAGGCCCTCGCCACCCAGAGCCCAGATGGAAAGTGTGCGTGAGCTGATCCCTCTGGCCAAAGAGGCGATGGCGCAGAAGCCGCGAGGGAAGCTGGTGAAGCTGTACGTTCTGGGCAGCGTGCTGGCACTGTTCAGTGTGGTGCTCGGCCTGATGGAGACAGTGTGTAGCCCTTTCACAGCTGCCAGCCATCTGCGCGACCAGGAGGCTGCAGTGGCCGAGCTGCGGGGCGCTTGTGAGCAACAGTCCCTCCACAAGCAAGCCCTGATGGGCAGAGGCAAGGCACAGGAGGCGACCCTGTGCAACCGGGCCCTGTCCCTCAGGCAGCATGCTTCCTAAGGCGGGGACTGGCAGAGGAGGGAGGGAGACAAAGACAGAGACATAGAGAAATCATGACTCCCGGTGGAAGACAGCAGAGTCAGGTGCTGTTCCGAGGAGAAGCCACCGAATCCAGAACGGACCCTGCACAGATCACCCAAGGAGTCTGGGATTGACTTTTGCTGCTATGCAGCATGCACTGTGATTTGTCCAAGGCTGTGGGAGCGACCGAGGAGCTATCCATCACTTTGCATTAGAGAAGGAGATGTGCTTTTTATACTGTTGTTTTTATTGTTATTTTTTTATTACTACAATGGCTACCTTTTTTCCATTTTGAAATAAAAACATTTTATACTCTATTGCATTATTTCATTCCTAGGAGGTGTGGTGAGCCTGTCACCCAGCACTGCGGTTAGCTCTGCTCCAAGCATGCTGCCTGGCACAGGTCTACTCACAGAAGAGTGACACTGGCAAAGGAGCTAAAAGCGTTAGCGTTTTTGGGGATCGCAAAGTAGATCCATTTCTGACCTAGAATAAGTGAGGGAGAGAGAGATAACCACTGGATTTCTAGGGTAAAGAAAAGGTGATTTGTCATTTACCCCTTTGCCGGTGATTCTTGAGGCTTATCTCCATCTGATTGACTATTAGAGAGGGGAGAGGGAGAGGGAAGGAGACTGGAGGAGGAAATGGAAGGAAACTGGAAGAAAAGCAAGAATGAGAGAGACAGAAGAAGAAAGATTGCAGAAGAGGGCAAGAGAGAGGTGAGGGAGGACAGGAGAAAGACAGGAACCAGATGTCTGGTGGGGAGCAGGGGCTCTGGCTAGCGAGGAGTTACAGCTTGGAAAGAGAAAAGACCTTAGCAGACTTGAGGCCTCTCCCTGGAGTCAGAGTTGACAGAGTGCCAACAGCTAATTTAGTAACTGTGGGACTCCCCAGAGGCAACCCCCCCCCCAGCAGAGCCTAGAGGACAACCTGATGCCACTCCCTCAGGATCTTTAATGTCACCAGATGTGGGCGTGTTACCCTGACTCTCCGTCCGTCCTTCCAAGCTACCCTTACACACCTCCAATCCATTTAGGTTTCAAACCCCCTGCGTGGTGCTTCTGGCTCTGATCGGCCGCCGGTGCTCCCTAAAGTCTATCCTCAACATCCCCAAGGAGAGAGCAGTGGCGGTTAACGAAAGAAAGGACATGTTGGAAGCTTCAGGGGGAAAGCATGTCAGTGACACCAGTGTCCTTCCTGTTTCCAAATCCAGACACTTGACCCTGCGGTAAGGCAGAGGCCGACCTCAGTGGCCCCGGAGCTCGCTGGAGCTCAGCCAGTCCAGCCCTTCAGAAGCCTCTTCCACAGGCTGCTTGCTCCTCTACCCGTCCGTCCAACACCTCGCCCAGCTCATCTCCTGTATCACCTCACAGGCTGACCCTCCCCCCCTCCCTTCAGTACCTCTCGCCTTGTCGTTCCTCCACTAGACACTAAACTCCTACGCAACACTAGCGGTTCCGCGACCCTGCTTCTGTCTACCTCTTGTCTGCCTTTGCGAACTATCCAACATGGACACCGGTATCCTCAGGTTCCTTTTCCATCCTTGAATAACATCACTCTCTCTGGCAATATTATCTCCTTATATACAGATCCTCTACATCTCTGAGGAAAATATGCCTCAACCATCTGAGGATTTCAAACTTTCTGCCTATCAGCCAACTATGTATCAAACTCTCTCTCTCTCTCTCTCTCTCTCTCTCTCTCTCTCTCTCTGTGTGTGTGTGTGTGTGTGTGTGTAGGTGATGCTATGTCTGTATTCAGAGGGTTTGGCTATGTATAAAGGCATGAGTGCCCAAGCATACAAATAACACTAACTTATTCAGGATTCAGTGTAACGTCTCTGGCAGATTCTCCTTCACACTGTCCGGTCTGTCGGCCTGAGTTGGTGGAATCTTTTCCCCTCTCAGAATCTTGCACTTGTGAAGTCTAGGTCTCACACTGGCCCATGCTAGCAGACCTTCCTCTCAGAGCATTGTTGATAGCATGACCTTCCTGAGGGGAAGGACCAAGTCTTCTTCATTTTCACACAAATCATCAAGGTTTGGGAAATCGTGACATTTTCATAGACATTTGATTTATTTGTCTCAACTGCACCCAGCAAGGAAAGTGTATTTGTCCCACAAGGATGCTCACAGAGGGAAAGGGGGCTGCTTTATCACGACCGAATCAAGTTTTGCTGTGGTCTCTCAAGACATTTGGTCATGGCCAAACCAAACAAGGCCCTTACCCCACAGAGACAAAAATTATCCTTGGTCTTATTCTATTTGGCAGTGTTAACACCAACCTAGGGAAGGTAACAGAGGAATGCTTGTTGGTTCTGTTGATGACATGGGACCAACATAGCAGAGTCAAGATTAATAATAATAATAATAGTATTTCACCAGACTGGAGTCAGGCACTGAAGCAAACTGAAATTGAATGGGGAAGAGTTGTTGGATAGTTTATCACACTATGTGAGGATATGCCGCTGCTTCATCCTCCCTGCCTAAGACACCTGATTGGTATATAAAGAGCTGAATGGCCAATAGCTAGGCAGGAGAGGTGAGACGGGACTTCCAGCCAGAGGTAGGAACTCTGGGTTAGAATCTGGCACTGGGGATTTCACCAGTGAGACATGGAGGGAGTCAGAAGTACAGAATGGAGAAGAGGTAGAGAGTCACGTGGCAGAACGCAGATGAATTTAATGAGTTTAGAATGTAGGTTAGTTTGGGAGCCAGTTGGAAACAAGCCCAAGCTAAAGACCAACCTTTTATAATTAATAGTAAGTCCCCATGTCATCGTTTGGGGGCTGGTGATCCAAAAGTGTCTGACAATAAAGACCTACTGCATTTGGCATCCAGTGTGGAGGCCAAGGCCCCTATATGCAAACACAGGGTCTGAGAAAACTGAAAAAAAGTCCTAGACACAAAACCCTCCACTAGTGGTGTCCAGAGTCGCAGCTCCTTTAAGAGTCCCCACTGTGTAGATGAGCACTTAAATGATGAATCCTAGTAAGGATGGGATTCTAGATAGAAATGCCTGCCATAGCACAAACCCAGTAACTTCCCAGAGCTGGGGTGGTGTGAATGTGGCTCCCGACAGGACCTGAGGGCATGAGGCTTGGCTCTCACTGACCCAAGGGGGGTCAGAACCAGCCACCAGTGCCACGCGCTAAATGGAACCACACAGCAGGTAGCCTAGTGGTTTAAGGTTTGGCTCATGTGGTCAGAAAAATTCTGCAGACAAGCAGATAAAAGCCAGGTTTGGGCAGAGAAAACCTCTAAACAGGTGCAGTAGGCTTGACAATATGCTTAGGTGCTGAAGGAAAAAGAAAAGAAATGTGTTCCATTGGGGGAGAGGTTATGCTTTTGTTTCCACAGGAAACGAAAAGCTATGAATTCCTTCAAAATTAATAAAGACCAGATTTAATTGGAGACCTCCTGAAAATCTTGACTGCAGATATGAAGGAAGAAACCAAGAAAAAAAAGCTACAAGATAGGTGATGTATACGCTGATCTCTCTGCTATGGGAACAGCTCTGAGACTGGATGAGACATAATAAATCTTGTTGGCTACAGAGTCCTCATGACTAATTATTACATACTATGCCTTCATATGACATGGATGGAGATTTATATCACAGTTTGGTTATGCAGTCCAAGCAGACTTAAAAAGTTGAAAGATGCCTTTTACCTGCTCAAACAGAAAGCAAAAAATCATCCTTAGTTGGCTTGAGCACACTGTACATTCCATACTTGTTAATGAAGATAAGTATGCTACCTTTAAAAGTTTGTGTGTTTTCAAGGACGGGGGAGACAAGACATCAATTAAGACAAGTAGTCTAGGTTACCCAGCCTCTCAGAATGCCTGTTACAGTTTCCTCAAAATTTTGCATCCAGAACAACTTCAAAACTGCTGACTGAGATGGTCCAACCTCATAGGCTACTCCAGCCAGAACATCTGATAAGCCCTGAATTTTCCCATTACATACAGACTGACAACAAATGATACAGCTAGCTCTTGCAGGACTTGACCATTATCCCAATTTCTCAGGGTCCCCAAAGATGCCATTACCCCCTCACAACAGAAAGTACTCTAGAGAACATGATACCCACATTCCCAAGAGGTGGTGTAGGTGGTTATAGATGTTTGTCTTTTTGGAGTGGGTTAGTTGTAACTTGTTATTGTTAATGGTCAGGAAGGAAACTAAGCAAAGGAGGTTTGATTCAGGAATCTCTTTTTAAAGAGAAAAAAGGGGGTATAATAATGATGGGATAAAATGCAGGATTATTAAGTCTAGTTTTAACTAAAAAAGCAACTATTAGTCTCAAATACTTTACAGTGGTATGGATTTTTATATATTGATACAAATTTAAGATTATTTTTATTGTAGTATACTGTATATATGTTTCTACTCTTGTTTAAGGTATTGTACCTACGTGACTCATTTAAATGTAATGTGAAGTTCTAGTCCTTGAAAGGTGTTATTATGAACTATTTAGGATAATTGACAAATTAAGGTTAGAAGTTAGTCATCCATAATAATCAAGCTTGTCGTCATGTTAGGTAGGTTTTCAAGGTCAAGCAGATATATGACAGATAGATAGATAGATACATACATAATACTAAAACACTTCAGAGACCTACAGACTATGTCATTTAAGACGTTTTAATAACATAAGTCTTTTAATGACAGTGAGACATGTCTGCTCCTGGCAGCACCAATCTATTTCAGAAATGATGGGCACTGAAAAACCTCCATAAAGAGTTTGCTTTCTATGTGGCAAAGTTAGCCACTGGGCACAGCCTTGACTGATGACAGTATGCTATCCAAATTGGACAAGCAGCACACAAAAGAAGGCAACTGCCAAACTTTATCAAGACAAGGTGGGTTAGTCCTTCAAAATTCCTGCTTCACGGGAAAAAAATGTCAGCTATTCCAGGCCTGTTTGTTAAGATGGATGCCCCAACATTGCAGAGGAACCTGGGTGGCTGTCCAGGAGTCAGCTGTCTCTGTTGTTTCTATAGCTTTGGAAGTTGCTTGTTCTGTACTTCCTGGTTACTCAGGCAATATTATATCCTCTCGGTTTTTCTGATGGGATTAGACTGGTATCCATTTTCTTTGTTACCAAATTGCAAAAACCTTACAAAAGCCAGGCGTTGGTGGCACACACCTTTAATCCCAGCACTCGAGAGGCAGAGACAGGGGGATCTCTGTGAGTTTGAGACCAGCCTGGTGTACAGAGTGAGTTCTAAGACAGCCTCCAAAGCTACAGAGAAACCCAGTCTCGAAAAACCAAAAAAAAAAAAAAAACCAAAAACCAAACAACAACAACAAA